AGGCCCTAACCGACGCAACACAGCTCAAGTAAACAAACACGACACCATACTGAATTCCATTGTTCGTAACCAAAACCGAAATGAAAAATGAAGAACTAAAAAAGACTGAAATTTGCAGCCCATGAGCCCACCCCACCGCTAATCCTCCTGACGAATCAACGACATCAACAAGAAAAAAATCAGAAAAACCTAGTCCCCTAAGACGACGGGACACAACTCTACGACGCGATCTAGTTTCCAAAATAAATACAATATCAGGATTATTCGCCCTAACTACCCCCAGCAACGATTGGAAGTCAGGAATGGCCCAATTCCCCGAACGTTCCACGCGACTAGTCTCATTTATCTGGGTGGGGCCACTCACAGCTGCCTTCCTCCACCGGAACATCAATCATCTCATAAAATTCCTTTTCGCCTTCCTCCACACAAGCTTTCTTCATTGGAGTTGGCTTCTCCTCTGTTTCATCCAGCATCGCTGTTGGACGCTTCTTGTCCATCGCCTCAATGCCCTCCGGAGCCTTCATCTGGAATAGGCGAATAGCACCTTCCTTACACCCTCCTCCGCAACAATGACCGAACTCACTCCCTTAGTAGCCGCCTGCACCTGCCCCTCCACATCCTTCTTGTTCTGCTCCTCCAACTTTGACACAAGATCCTTCACCTTTCCCCCTTTGCAGTCTGCAACTGGTACTGACCTCACCCCTCCTAATTTCAAGCAATATTTAGTGCCCTCCGCAGCAGTCTTCCCCCCTTGGTTATCAATTTTGCCATTGCCCTTCATTTTCTCTGCCTTTTTCCCGCCAACAGAACCTGCAGGTTTCTTCTCCGTCAGCTCCTCCTTCCCACTCCGCCTTGAACTAGCCTCCTTAGTCCTTCCCATCGAAGACTTCTTCCCCTGGTCCTCCAGCCCCATCTTTATGCACTCCTCCTTCCCTGTCACCCCAACCGTTCGGCCACCCACCAGAGCATCATCTTTCCGCTTTTCACTGCCAGCTTCCTTCTTCCCACGAGACGTCGTCGCAGGAAGGGCCAACACCTTGTTTATGTGCCCTGACCCCACCTCACGATCCCCATGATCAGGTCGCCTCTTACCACCATCTCGAATCTTCTACTTGCCACCATGGGTCGTCGGGTTAATCCAAATAGTGTGCGGAACCCCCATCCCATGGATGGAATAAAGCATTGCCTCATTCAGCCTATGCCCTGACTCGTCAGTAGTCATCTTTTGGGAGGAAGTGCTCTTCCCTCTTGGGAGCTGGGTAGCCACAATTAGCAGTCGTATGTCCCAATCTACCACAGTGGTAGCAGAACAACGACAAATGCTCATGCACAAGGTTCACCCAGAACTTCCCCGCCACTGGGTTCGAGGCATACACTTGGGAGCGGAGCGGTTAAGTTACATTGATCATCACCCAAACCTTGATGAAGTATCCGGGCATCCCTTTGATACCATACAAGCTTGTGTCGATCGTCTCCCCCAACTTCCCCTGCGCCACTCTCATCCCGAACGTCGTAATTCTGCAGTGGGACGGAACCCCCGATTGAGTTACAACTTTTACATTAATTAGGTTACATGACTTTTTAGTTTGTAGGAATACAAGGATTGTTTACAAAAGTGCTATGCAAAATTTTATTTCAAAACATAAAATTTGACATTTGTGATCTATGGTTTTGTAACAAGACATTTTCAGTGCTATAAGTGAATAACCAAAAATCATTGGCTAACAATTTCCCTAATGGTTGACAATTATAAGCATAGAATTGAAAGACTAAATACCATTGACAAATGAGCCAATTATCATTGGCTAAATTTAACAAACAATGGTATGTGTATATACATTGGTAATTCTATGGTACGCTCCTTAGTTAAATAACATTATCTAGACCATAGATTAATCACGTAACTAAACCCTATATCATAATTCTCTAAATCCTAATATAGTGCATATGGTATGTTATATACATCTTGACGAATCAGAATCATTGATTATGTTCTTAGTATATGTGATATTGGGGTTTAAGTTCTATAGATTTAGGTTATATGATTTAAATATTTAAAACTTAATCTCCCTTTCCAAATTTCCTGCAATGAGAGGGAAATTAGGAAGGACATTTTTGTCTTCACAATTATTTGTATTTTTTATTTATTTACAGAAAAAGATAGACATATTGAGAATTGAACCATGGTCACTTCAAACAAAGTGAAGGTTTAAAATCAATCAGACTATGTAGACTTGTTGTATTTTTTTAAATTAAAAATATATATGAAGCTAAAATATGAAATCAATGAACTTTTCAACAGTTAGCTAGCCTAATAAATATTCCATAAGCACTTATTTGGTGTTTTGATATTTCGATTTTGATATTTTTTTTATTTTAATTATAGTTTAATACTTAATTTAAAATTTTATCTATCTTATAAATAGACTATAACCATAAAATTGCAACCAAAATATTGTTGGTTCGAATATCTCATATCGAATTATAGTATTGAATATGTGGAAGCGATATAGAATTCTTAAATTACCATTAATTTCTAGAACTATAGTGAAGAAATCATATATTTGTGCAAACTATAGGGGACTGGTTCTCTGAACATTTTTGTACAGTTAAATACTAAGTTTTGAAACTCTTCCTAGGGGTGTACGTGGGTCGGTTCGTTTGGGTTTATATATTTTAATCACCTAACTCATATACCACAATTTTGAATACATTAAATACAAACTCACCCAAATAATTTAGAATTTTAACGGTTTGTGTCCTCCATACCAAATGAACCAATTTACATGTCTCTTAACTAAGGACGATCTCATTGTCCAATCCCGTCATTCTAATGTCAATACATAAAAGTAACCCATATTTGCGTTTGTTAACACATGTTTCACATTGTCATTACTGTAACCGGTAACTTCCCTGCAACTGATTTGGTATTGCTCATCATATGGACTCCAAACTGATAAACATATCGGGCTAGCAGTTTTATGACAAAACTCAAAGTGAAGACAACTCATTGACTGGTGGAATTTTGGCGCTTGCTGGTGTCCCTTAATCTAATTGCAAGCATAATGATTGCTAAAATTAAGTTTTCACGCAACACACTGGGAGTTGGGGGGTGTGAACTTGGAGTAAAAGTTGATATTGGGTTTGGGAAGGGAAGTGGTGAGAGGAAGAAATTGTGTTTGGATTTGGTAGTAGGTAAAGTTCATGGTTCGGTTTCTTTTCGTAAAATGCTTTGATTTATTTTAGTTAGAGGTATAATATCATGTTTATGTGGGATCAAATGAACCAAAAATGAGCTTGGGGATGGGAATTCCAACTTAGAAGGAGTAAATTAGATTTTGATAAACTCAAGTTCATTATTAACTGGAAGAATATTTAGATTTAGACTTTGTGGTATTGAGATGTTCATAGAGAGTTTAAAACTTATCCAAGGCCATGGACTAATAATGGTTAGTTGATTTTGATTTTGAGTAAGGTGTATAAAAAGTCATGGAAGTAGTTTGCAGCAAGTGAATGCAGTGAAGAGCCAGTTGGTCAGGGTAGTGATTGAACCAATGAGGGTATTGAAAGACATAGAAGCAAAATTGGAGCAGTTGAAGAGAGAGAAGTGGTAGATAATCAGGATATTAATGAAAATGGAGAGGGTATTGAAGGGCATGGAAGTGAACTGGATCAGGTGAAGGCAGAGAAGGAGGAGAAGAGCATATTGATGGAATTGAAGATGAGAGTTGGTTTTACGAGCTTATTAAAACTGCCCCAAGGAAGATGAGTTGGCCAAATAAAAGAAAGAGGATTAAGGAGTTGGAGATCAAGTTGACAAGAAACTCAATTGAAAGAGAAATTCAGGTTCATGGAGAGAAGATCCATCAAAGTAGCATAAATGGAGTTGCAGAAGGAGGATTAGAAATTGAATTTTGGTTTAAAACATATACGTCGAGAGATTGAAGATGGAAGGGATAAAGGTTGGTTTTACAACGGAGAGTGGAAACTATTGGATCTTTAGGTGTTATGGTTGTTGCAACTACCACAACCTATGTTTATGTTAAAACGAGGAATCATTGATTGATTTACTAAAGTTAAGTTCGATTCATTATTCAAACTACTAACCTGTAGATAAGGAGTGTCTAATTTTGTGCCTCATTACTTTGATCGAGTCTATTAGTATATTGGATGTAACTCTAATTTTGTCATTTGCTCTCAAGTTTTGATGATCTCCTTTTAGTTGAGTTGTTAGCATATGATTTACTTGAATCAACAACTCTTCATTTCTGTTTTTTTTTTATAAATCCATTTCTTTTTTATTAGTGACATGTTATTCATAGAGGAGAGCTTTGAACCATTTATGTGGGACTATAAGGTTTCATTTCAGTTTCAAACTATCTATGGATCGTGTGTGAATTCCAATGAGCTTTTATATTATATATTTCTGGACAATCTATTAACCAATATCATTTTAATAGGGGCTCAATTATCATTATGAAAATGGAATTAATGATACATTTTTAGATTCTTAAATGAGTAGGGTATTTCCATGAATGTTCGACCTATATATTCATTCTTTATGTAGCATCTCGATTGAATTATTTTCAATAAACTTAAACGAATTAATAAATTTAAACATAACATAAACATAAAAATATTAAAATATGAACATTCCGGCCTACGGGCTGGGTTATAAGCCAGTAGAGAAAAATGTATTTTAATTGGTCAGTGGTTTTTTTCTTTTTTTTTTGCCAATAATTGGTCAGTGGTTTCATTTTAATTAAAAGATAAATTTATGAGCCCCATTATGGACCGCTGTTCCAAAGTTCAGACTTTTTACTTGATCACGAAACAAGCAAAATGAGAGTTGGCCGAGTGGTTCAACCGTTTGACTAGCTTTGTTTAACTGGGTGAGCTGTTGAACGAAAAACGTAATTAATAAATATACATGAACGAGGAGACCAGTTGCAACGAATACGGTGTCGTATCACCAGCCACCTCCACCTCCCGGTCTTTCACACTTCTTCAGTCGCCGCTCGCCCGCAACCCTGAAAGCGTTAAGCCGCTGCAATTGTACGCAGAGCTTATAGGGAGCTGAATAAAGGTGAAGAGAGGCAGAGAATCAGAAACTCTAGAGCTTCTAAACACTAACCCCGCCGCAGTAGGAAAGCTTGCCAAATTCTCGGTGAGGTAATCTCTCCCCTCTGTTTCACTTCAATCTGGTTGTTGGCTCTTGTCGCACGCACCGAAGTTTGAACCCTTATTACCCCTCCTTTTCACTCTTCCGTGAGATACAGAGACGGCTGCGCCGGTGACGACGGATAGGAGTTGGCAGCGAGAAGAATAAATAATCATGGAAGCCATCGCGAAGACAAACACAAATGCACCCAAGAAGCAAGTGCTTCTTTTCTACTGCCTGGAGTGTGAAGAACTCGCCCGTAAGGTCGCCGCCAATTCTGACCTCATCACCCTTCAATCCATCAACTGGAGGTCAAACTTTATCTTTCTGTATCGGCTGTTTTCCCCTTTTCCATTAAAGTTGGATTCTTTACTAAAACTCTGCGGTGCCAAGGCAGTTTACACAGTTTCTTTTCTATACAGCATTATGTTTATGTTTGTTTTGCTGTCATTCTCATCGGTTAAGTATTATTGCATTCCACGATTCAGCTCTCCACAATGTCCCCTATTTGTGTTTTGTTTTGCCTGTGGTATTGCTCGAGATCATTACTGTATCCAGTAATTGCTCATATGATTAAGTAATCTTGGTCTCAGCTCAGCTTTTTCCCTTATGCATGGAGTGCTGATATAGAGAAAGACCTAATATTTTGTGGTTTGGTATCAGGAGCTTCGAGGATGGGTTCCCGAACCTTTATATAAACAATGCTCATGATATACGGGGTCAGCATGTGGCGTTTCTTGCTTCCTTCAGTTCACCATCTGTGATCTTTGAGCAGCTCTCTGTCATATATGCACTTCCGCGTCTGTTTGTTGCTTCCTTCTCGTTGGTTTTGCCTTTCTTCCCAACTGCCACCTTTGAGAGAATGGACGAAGAAGGGGATGTTGCAACAGCGTTCACCTTGGCCAGAATCTTGTCAAATATTCCCATATCAAGAGGCGGCCCTACTAGTCTAGTCATCTATGATATACATGCTCTACAGGTTATTCCATTCTCACTTCTCTTTGTTAGTAGTATCATCTATTGCTCTTTGTTGCTTGAGTTATTATATTGAAAATGATGAACCAGAATCACCTATTAACAAATTACAGAACAAAGAAGCTGCTGCTGCTACTTAACTTACTGTGCCATTGTTAGTCCTAGAGAAAATTTATAGTAGTGAGGTTAGTCAAGTGTCATGCATTGCAACTGCTTAGAGTCATGAACTTGAACTTCAAAATACCATACCTACCTATCTGAATGTCAAATACAACTCAAGTTGAGTCAATTGAAGAAATTTAAAAAACCTTTCATCATTCCTTATATTGTACTCTCTTCCATTTCCTCTAGTAAATATTGGGCTTCAGCATTTCTATACACATGGAACTTGTTGGTTTCTACATATTGGACGTTGTAATTTCTTTTGTTGAATCGAGTTAGCCTAATGATGGGAAAGGCTAAAAACATGTGTACCCTTTTTGAATCTTGTTTAAAGTAACCAGACTAAAAATTGCAAGGCGTGGAATGTACTCAGTGAGGGTTGAGAGAATAGAGAAGAAATGAACAAGACATTTCTTCATTGCGGCCTTGTAGCTTTTATCTTGAATTTTTTTTCTCAGCATTTGTGCAATTCATAATCGTTTAGCGAGAGGTGATACTTAACCCCATCATTATGCCTTGTGCAGGAAAGGTTTTACTTTGGGGACCATGTATTGCCTTTGTTTGAGACTGGGATACCTTTGTTGAAGCAACGCCTCAGACAGCTTCCTGATTCTGATAAGGTTTGTGCTTCATGCTGTCTTAGTGTGTCACGTAATTATGTTCCTTACTATGTCATGGGAATTTGAGTTAAGTGAAAGCTGTTAAGTAGCGATTCCACAATCTGTTGGATGATTGACCAACTATGTCTTAGTGTGTCAGATTTGTGCTTCATGCTGTCTTAGTGTGTCACTTAATTATGTTCCTTACTAAAAATATGGAATGACTACCTTGCTTCTAACCAATACTGAATTTGTTTTTTTCCACTTTTTTTTTTGTTTCTCATTATGTTTTCAGATTATTATTGCGTTTCCTGATGATGGTGCTTGGAAGCGATTCCACAATCTGTTGGATGATTTTCCAACTGTGAGTCTAAGCCTTCTGATCTTGGATCTTAAGTGTATCTAATATATTTCATGATTCTCGGATCATCTTTTTTACTAGACTCCCAATATGTTTTAGGTTGTGTGCAACAAAGTTCGTGAAGGTGATAAGAGGATAGTGAGGATAAAGGAGGGAAATCCTGCTGGTTGTCATGTGGTTATTGTTGATGATCTGGTGCAATCTGGCGGTACTCTTATCGAGTGCCAGGTACTTATTAAGATATGCTTGAAGAGTTTTTTTTCCCCTATTTATATTTAGAAATCACTAACAGCACTTATTGAGAGTCTCTTATTTTATCTGGTTGTGATCCACCAGAAAGTTCTGGCAGCTCATGGTGCAGCTAAAGTAAGTGCGTACGTTACCCATGGCGTGTTTCCTAAGAGATCTTGGGAGCGATTCACTCACAAAAATGATGGTAATCTCTCAGTATCCTTTCAGGGTTCCTGGTGAGCCATCGTTATCTAGTCTTTTAACCATGTTTGTGAACTGTTTACTTTTTGCATGTTCATGAAGATTTGGAGAAAGCATTTGCCTATTTTTGGATCACTGATTCATGCCCTGGAACCGTTAAAGCTGTAGCAAGCAAAACTCCATTTGAAGTACTGAGTCTTGCAGGATCCATTGCTGAAGCACTACAAATATAAGGTACCTCTAATGATCATATCCTAGGAGAGTGTCGATGATCGCTGGGACCATAAACTCCTTTAAGTGAAAACAGCGCATACCATAGGGCTGCTGATTTGCTTCTTTTGCCCAACTGCGGATGTTTGATTGCTGATGTTCAAATTATCTCGATCGATTTGAACCTTGATCTCGAGACTCGTGGGTTTCAGCCTAACTTTGTTTACTAATTGCTATCCCTTATCTAGTTTATGTGGATCTTGATTGCAAATGAATGTCTCAATTATCGTAATCCCTATGTGTGTGGGCTGAGGGGAGGAACACCACATTGGAATTTGAACGTAAGATCTCCAATTTGAAAGAGAGTGCTAAATCAAAACTATCAATTCCAAATAAATCACAGGACAACCAAAAATAGGCCAATAGCTTCTGCAGTGAGCTCTTGTGGATAGGTGGAAGTTGCCAGACCCGGTGAACTGTGAACAAGGTTGTCAACCCAATTTGGCCCGTTGACCCTATAGATTGAGTGTAAGGGTTCATGGTCGGATGGTTTTAGCTTGTTTTAACCTGAATATGGAAAAAACATACACATTTTGTAGTAATTTGATAATTTGATGACCGAAATATAATTTATTTGCAAGTACCATATGACAATTTTACATTAACCCTACAATTATTATTTCAAAAACAAAATTCCCTACAGCTATCCCACACTAAACTCTGCTGTAGTTGTCCCACACTAAACCTTATCCTTCCTTTACTTCACCTCTAAATTCTAATTGGAATTGGCCTCTTGGCTCTGTCTTGTTAACTGCACAGGCCGCTAAGCTATAGTCGCCGTGTCGTTCCCATCTTAAGTAGATAAGAACTTCGATTTCACTCGGCCGGCGGGACGACAGGGTCTTCAATTTTCATTGACCCTCCAAAATAGCTGCTGACGACAAGAGGAAAAGCATTACTGCCTTCTTCATGTTTGAGGGTCCGGGGTCCTTTGATTCTTCTATCACCAGTTAGCTGGCTCGAGATCGATTATGTACTGAACGAAGGGGGTTAATGGGGTTGGGGTGTCTTGGTATATCTTGGGGTGGGCGGATATTCATTAAACAAAATACAAACTATGAAGAGAAGAAGAGAGGGTACTTGGTTATTCGGTATACTACTGATAAAAGTACTCCCTACAGTTAGTGCTAACGTAGCAAAAATAGAGCAAGAACAATGCACTGTAAAACAAAAGAATAGAAACAGACTGAATAGGAAATCGAGAATGAAATCGAAATAGAGATTTATGTGGTTTTCTCATTTTTCGTATGGACGAGACAATTTGATGACCAAATTTTGTGGATCTTTCTTATTGATTTGTTAACCATCATCGGAAGTGGCGGAGCTAGTTTGGAAGATGGTGGGTCTTGGGATTAATCTTAGCTTGAGATTAAAACACAAAAAATAACAATATTTGCATAATACTCAAATTAAACAATTCATATATTTTTTTTTAATTTTACTTATCTACCAACATATTGTAGTGAAATTTGTATCACATATTAACCTTGCATATTGTGTAAATAACTTTAGATTTTAGATAGAACTGCGTCTGTAATGGTTTATTATGAGTTTCCTAATTTATAGTTTAGTGTAGAATTTCACTCTCAAACGAAAATCAGTCAACATACTATAAAATACGTCATGGATCATTTGTCTATTAATAAAATTTATTTTATATATTTCTAGTTTTACATCGGACCCACCTAAAGTGAAGTTCTGACAACACCATTGATTATCGGTGACCGGCATTGTGTGTTATACAAATATCTGTGGGGAACCCTAGCTCTCTTATTAAGGTAGATTATGCTACTAATATTATACATATATACCGTGGGCTTCTATACTACAAATGAGCTTGTACCACAACAGCCTCCCCAAACTGATGGAGGTCTCACATCTTCAATTTGCTAACAAGATATGAATGACCACTAGAAGTAAAAGTCTTAATACGAAGATCATCAATAATGATTTTGGGGATAAACATTAAAAATGCTAATAATTCCATCACTAACCGATTCTCGTATATATTGAAAATGTACCTCAATATGGTTGATACAATCATGGAGAGCTGGATTGATTGCAATATGAATGAAACTCGTATTATCCACGTATAGCTGTAAAGGAATGTCACATATGACACCATGAATGTCACATATTCTACATAGAAGCGTTTGGCGACCTAGAATTATAAAAGCGTAAACTTTAAAACTTTAAAACGCGATTTGACTACATTGCTTACAATGACAAGAGACATAGGACTTACCCGGATAAGCACACCATCCATAATCATGGTGTCATATAAGAGAATGCTTGAAGGACTAAATCTCTAGTATAGCCCCCTCTCTTGGCTAGGTAAGACGCTACGATCTCATGGCTTTCTGAAAATGTAGCAAAGAAATCTAATGTAAGAATAGAAAGAAATCTAACTTGAATCCATGATGGATCTCGTCCCAACCTCAAATTCATTCTTATAGACAATGAATCCATGAATGGCCTCCTTTGCTTCTTCACCAGCAACTTCCTTCAGACTGATGAACTCTCCATTCTCCACCTCTACTCTATCTTCCTCGAACTTAGAGCCTCCCAACGGTGTCATTAAACTTCGAAAAAGAGATGTCACAGGGTACCTGCTTGTGCATGGTAGCTTCAAACTGAAGAAAATGGATGAATTGATCCTAGTCATCTTGTATTGGCTTAGTATCCCCTTGCATGAATTGGAGGATCCAATTAGCACATAATTCTTCCATGAATGCTTGCTTGATGCATTCTTAGGTTTGGAACTCTTTTGGGTAGAAGGAATCGAACCACACCCTCGCTTCTCCTTGTAATGAGTAAGGGAAAAGCCCCAACTTGACAACTCTTTTGTAACTCCTTGATAGGTTAGGAATTAAACACTTTCAAGAAGTTCTTAACATGCCAAGTGGAGTTATCTCCATCTCTGCCTTCAAACAATCTAGCTCCTCGAATAATTTGATCTCCTTATGAAGCTCAAAATCGGTCCTAGATTGAAATCATTGGATCCTCATGTTTTTGTGGTTTCTCATCTAGAGGCTCTTTCTTTGCTTGGGCCGATTGAGGACTCTCAACGATGGCTTCCAAGGTTGGTGTAATGCTTTCATCATCTTTCAAGGAATCCGGTATGATTTCTTCTAAGTTTGACGTCCTTCATCGACTACACCTTCCAAAGGGGGTCTCTCGCTTTCTACTATTTCCAAAGATCAAGTTGTAAACTCCTCTTCTTCCTCATCATTTGAAAAATTGCGGAAGATTCGATTTTCGGAGACAAAATAATGTCGTCTCTTCTTTCCATAGGATTTTCGCTAGGATCAACAACCTCCTTCAAGAATCGATCACATTCCTTTCCAAGTGAGAAAAACCAATCTGTCATTCTTGATTGGTTGAGTAAGATTGTTCTACAAATTACAAACAAAAGAATACCATGTGAAAAGCACAAGTGATATGAAAATGAAAATAAACAAACAAAGAAGAAAAAACAAGATGTTAGTCTCTTTCAAATACTATTAAAAATTCCCAACAATGACATAAAAAACTTGACGCGACTGTAGTATATCATAAAATCCAAGAAATGTTTAGGGTCGTATTCCACGGGTCTCATAATAGCGGCTATTTGAAACTAACTACTTGTGTTACAAGAAACAATGAAAAGTAAATAAGATGGGTCGAAGTTCCCTTGATTGTCGAATTCTAATCCTAGCAAAACAAACAAGTAAATTAAGAAACACGAAAACAAGCAAGTAAGAGGTCAATGTTTAGCTAGCTTCATCTCGATGATCATGCATACAAACTCCTTAACGATAATGCATTCATGAATTATTTTATTATGATTTCTCATCTCCTCCACTAATGTATTCCTAATCGTGCTTTCGCTTCATACACAAAGAATTAAGATTAGTAGATATGCGCTTTCGCTTCATGCCACAAACTCATTAATCACGAGCAAGAGATCATAGACAACACATTGCTAATTTACGAACACGATAGCATTGGTTACCTCTCTATGTGAGTTCTTGACAACCTATATCAAGCATCAATTTTACGCATACATGAAAAGTTGTGTATTCAATTCATACATGCATAAGTCAATAACATATCACATAAAAGCAGTTTCCTAGCAACCTATAATAATATAATTAGTTGTGAAACCAAGATAACACATAATAGAAGATAAACGTCATATGCATATTATTAATTGAAACTAATGCACAAAGCATCATAGAATTCACATCCTAAGCAATAAAGGCTTTAGAAAGCCATAAGAGAGAGGAATGATGTCACCATTGATGGTGGAGACATATCCGTAAAACTCTGACAGTGTGACTACCTCGTCAACTTCACTTGAACTTCAGCTCCAAAGGGGGATTAAAGAATTATTAGGACTAAAGAAATAATTCCCATAAGAAAATGTCCAGAACTTCGTTATACCCAAACGGGCGTGAAGAACTGTACATGGAGCTCTAGTCTAAGCTTGTATTTATACTAGTAGCTAGAGGGAGAAAACTATGCATATATGATGTGGTATTAGGGGGTTTTCGACCAAAAGGGATCTGAATATTTCTCCAATGCGATTGAGAACTGAATCCTGACTTGGGGGCGAAGAAAGAAGCTTCCCTAAGTTTTGGGGAAATGTAGCGGCCACACAACAATCTGGGCCGCCATTCTCATAATTGGCTAATTTTTTGTACGAACGTTCGTCTTGGGCTCAACAGGATGCTCGTAAATTTTGAGTTCAATTGGACTTTGTTTGACCCACTTTGACCATGGTCAAAGGTAAGCCTGTTGCACTACTAATATGATCATCTGGTGTCCAAATCCATCACCATTTATGCCTAGGTGCTGCTATTCTTGTCCTCTTCAATGTCAGGGGTCCAAAATTGCTTGTATCCCCCTTGCATAAAATGACGGTATTGCCCATTTGGTTGCCACCATTCATTGGATTTGCCTCATTTTGGTCCATTCATTACTCATAAGTCCTCTCGAGTGTATTCTACTTCTAAAATGCACAAAATAATACCAAAAAGACGCCAAATAATACGAAGCACACTCAATATCTAAATCAGGCACGTTGTGTAAATAGTTACGAAATTCATATAACATATAATAAAACCCACTAAAATGCATCAATAGAATGTAAAATGTATCAAATATAGAGCTCTGGGAACACTACATTTGTAGTGTTATCACTTACGCCATCATTGTCACTCTCACTTTGAGTATCCATTCGAGCTTGTAAAGTATTATTAGCTACATTACAAACAACAATTAATTAAAGTGTTAACA